CATCACCAGTGTCAGCTGCTACATTTGGCATATGCAAAGAACCAAAATTATGTCCTCAAAATTCAGAGGAGGACATCAAACAATTCAACTTCTGAGAGGATGGATATGTCCAGTGCTTGGCAGATGAAGGACTTGTTTTTATATTTATCTGCCATACTCATATATTTAGCCACAGTTATGTTCTGAAGACGAAATTGGGGACAACATTGTCCTGGAGGAATTCCTATTGCAGGAAAATCTTATAGTCCGCTTTTTGACACTGTCGGTGCAGAGTCTCTGATAAAAGCCAGCGTAGTGCCAGTACAAGTGCAGTACCCCCGGAATGTGCAGCTTTTCTACATTCATGGAGATGAAGAGGAATACCCCGAGGCAGATATTAATGTTAAAACTAATGGAAAAAGTTATATTCTGGACGGTCTCTGTACCAGGTGATTCGTGGACAAGATGCACCTCTCAAGGTACACTTTTATAAAAAAATGTGATAAAAGTTCTCAAGCATACTGTACATCACCGCTAGTTCTGCTAGTTCCACTTTGCTTAAACGCCCCTTTCTTCTGCGGTGATAAATAATTCCCTAAAGAAAGGAAAGCACACAGAGAAAGGACAAAAGCTCAAATTCAGGGAACTCCAGTGCAGGAGGATGTTGACGCTGTGTCTATGTAGAGACAGGCACACTTCAGTCTACAGACCCCTCCCTTGCCTCATGCTGGGGGAAAGCAGATATAGACTTTATGATAAAGAATGACCAGAATGACCTTTTGTCACGCCTTCATCCCACCACATTCTCACACGAAAGTGCACTCGCACTAATCAGCCCCAAGCACTTCTGCTAAACGACACCACTCCTGCCAATCAGCAAACCACGACACTTCATCAATCAGTGCACCTTCTTCCTCGCCCAACACTTAAACCCGCCAGAAGCCTCTGTTCTTCGCCCGGTATTGGTCATTCTTTTGAGCTCCTACCTCGCCTTTGATTCTGTTTCCTACTCGCTCCTTGTTACGAACCTCGGAACTTGCCTTCGACTACATCTACTGTCTTGCTCCTTCAGATTAGGAAGCCTCGTTGACCTTCACCATTTGGAATACTCGCCTACCTTTTTCTATTAACCTCGGAACTTGACTCGGACTTTGCCTCTCGTCTAGCCCTCCTAAGGTACTGCGTAGGGTTCATCTTCCCGTTTCCTCAGCGGGTCACTCGTGACACCATTGTTCATGAGACAGAAAGTGAAGAATAAAAATTAGTTTTACCCACATGTGTGTGAAGAAATTACATGCATTGGTCACGCCATACCAAGGGACAGACATGTGGGTGAAACAAAAATCCAGGCTTGAATTGCCAAAAAAATTTTATTGACCAAGCTGGTACAATGATATCAATAAATTGTGATATCCAGAGTGCCAGCTCACAGACAATAGATAAGATCACTTTATTACCCTCATACAATTTCTTGCTCTCCATGAGACACATGGGTCAGAGCATAGGGTCAGCCATTTATACGACACCCCTGGATCAGTAGGGGTTAAGGGCCTTTCTCAGTGGCCCAACAGAGTAGGATTCCTCTGCTGGCTGTAGGATTTGAACCAGCAACCTACCAGCCACAGGCACAGAGCCTTAACCAAAGAGCCACCACTCTACCAATATCAAGCAAGGTGACATGGCACTGCTAATTCCTCTGCTGGTCATTGATGGGCTGTTCACTTGTATGGTGATGGACATCGTTGGGCCTTTGGAGGACAGGAAAAGAAACCATTATATTCTGGTAATGTGCCATTATGTGGCCCAGAATGCCAAAACCTTCCCCTTAAAAAAATGAAGACCCGCCAAATTATGAACACGCTTATCCAGCTGTTTTCACGGGTTGGAATACAGAAATACCATGTGAAATTCTAACAGACCAGGGAACTAATTTTACTTTGAAATTGCTAGGACAAGTATGTACCTTGTTAGGAATTCAAGAGTAAAAGACATCTCCTTACCAACTGGAGACTGACAACCTCGTCAAGCGGTTTAATCAGACCCTGAAAAACATGCTTCAAAATCCGTCTGAAATGGAACTTGATTGGGACATACTAAATATTTGTAATAATATTTGTATTTGTATATTTGTAAAATACAGAGAAGGACCTCGGGCATCTACAGGCTTTTCCCCATTTGAACTGCTCTATGGCCATGCTGTGCTTAGAGCCCTGTCAGTCTTAAAAGAGGAGAAAAACAGCTTAAGCAGCTGCTTAACATCCTAAGCTGTTTTAAAATGAAGAATACGCTTGAGGAACCTAAGGAATTTACATTAGAAAACATGTCTTCCACTCACAAAAGACATGGTACAATCGTGTGTCTAAGCAGAGCACTTTTACACCTAAACAAAAAGTCTTGCTACTATTGCAGACTTCATGCCAGACAGGAAATATACACCAAACGTTCCATATTTATTTACAAAAAGAGTGAGAACAAAAACAACAACCAAAATCAGGTAGAATGTCACGGACGTCCAAAGGGACTAACCGTTGAGAGCAGGAGAGCGGAAAAAGACCCATATGCGTAGCGGCAGAACGGGAAAAAGGCCCGGGCTTGTTAGTGCAAAGAGTTCAGGAGTGCCGTATAGAAACCTATGCCCTCAGGTACCGGACGTGGGGCGACCTGGTGCTAGGCGGGTCTCAGGACATCCGAACATCAATGCTGAGCGAGGGCAGACTGCAAGACCAGGAGATATATAGCCCAAGGGAAAGAGAGGGACCGGAAGGGCAGCAGGCAGGAAACTAGGGACAGGACAGAGTAGGAGCGCCCTCTAGCTGCAGAGGGCGTGACAAAGAAGCATTATTTCCCAGGAGTGACATCCCAGGGTTCCTCTGCCCTGTCGATAGATAACCTCAGTAAGGATCAACATCAACCCTTCTGCTCTGTTCAGAGACTGCTGCCGGAAGGATGGCAACACCATATTGAGCCAACGGAAATGTGGTCAAAATGCAACACAGAGAGTTCCAGCATGTGCGTGTACAAGAAACAAGAATCAAGAAGCAGAGAATATGTCAAAACTGTACATAGTGAAGCCATCCACGAATGAATTGTGTAGCTCAGTTCTTCTGGTCCCAAAGAAAGACGGGTTTAAGATTCTGCTTGGACTTATTAAATATCCAAGTTCCACACTTACCCAGTACCCCGGATGAATGAAATCCTGGCCAGGTTAAGCCACCTATATCAGCACACCAGGCCTCTGTAAAGGATACTGGTAGGAGCCACTAACTGCCCAGTCCAAGCCCATGACTGCTTTCAGAACACCTGGAGGTCTATTTCAATTTAAAGTCGTGCCCTTCAGACTACACAGTGCCGTGGCTGTTTTCCAGTGATTAGGGGGCTAAAGAATACTCAGGAGCGTATATTGATGATGTTGTCATCTACAGTACCTCCTGGGATAAACATCTGCAGAACTTGAAGGACATCTTTCAACAGATCCACAAATCAGGACTGACAGTTAATGCAGATAAAACCTGTTTAGCACAGAATGAGGTGGTGCACCCAGGGCATGTTACCGGCAATTGGATGGTGAAGCCCCAAGTCTACAAGATCAAGTCCTTGCTCGACAGATCACAAAAAAGCAGATATGCACCTCGTGGGTTGGTACAGTGCCACAGGTTCATTCCCAGGTTGGCTGTCAAACCCTGAGTGCTCACAGATCTGACCAAAAAAAAACCCACTATCAAAGTACACTAGATCAAAGAGTGTGAGCAAGCATTTACTGATTTAAAAGTGATGTTGTGTGAAGAACCTGTGTTGCAGTCCCAGACCTTGACTTACTTTTCACAGCCCAGATTGACACTTCAGGTTTAGGTGCCATTTTACTGCAGGGAGAGGGAGAGAATAGGAGGCCAATATTGTATATCAGTAGGAAACTCTTACCACATGGAAGCAGGTATTCGATTGTGGAACTTTGATTAAAGTGTGCTCTGAACACTTTGAAGTTTTACCTGTTAGAGAAGGAATTTCTTGTAGAGACAGACCACGGAGCTATCAAATGGTTACACCGTATGAGAGATAACACTCATGTGTCACGATGGTACTTGTCTCTGCACCCTTTTAATTTAGGAGTCCAGTATAGGGCAGGAAAGAAAACCAGTTAAAAGACCTTCTTGATTCCCTACCTGTGAGAAAATAAGGGGGGATGTGTGTGATGAATTGACACTAGTCCCTGAAAGTTCACAAAAAAGTACTTAACAAATAAGGGGCGCTAACCCTATGGTCTAATGCCCCAGTATAGTGATGGGGACACTATACTGTAAAAAAAGACACTGTCCTTCAGATGAGACGCAAAACTAAGGTCTTGACTCTCCGTGACCACGAAAAATCCCATAGCGTTTCTTGAAAACAGTGTGAATGTTAATCCTGTTTTCCTGGCCAAATTTCCCATTGGCCTTTGCCAATCAAGGCCTCCTAATAATCCCCATCTATTAACTGGATGTATTACTCTGTTTTCCTCCTCACCGATAGCTGATTTTGGGTGAGCATACTGGCACATTTTGGCAGAAGTTGCATCATCCATGTTGGTGCTACTCATTGGTGGTGATAGAGGGATGCTCCATTACCTGTAAACAGCTTTAAGCATACAGAAATTTTTTATACATTATAAGTGTAAGGATTAAGTTTAAAGAAAACCAGACATAAATTACTGTAACTGTGGATTGAGTTGTCTTTGTGGCATATGTGCTATCATTTTTTTGATAAAACCTGGAGATCATTTTTTTCTATAACCAAAGTGTCTACCCAAAATTGATTTGTTTTCCATTATGATTTATAGATCTCATGAAAGGTTCTTTTGGTTTGTTGAAAATATCACTTTTTTTTACTTTTCATTAAATCTTATAAATTCTAAGTTTCATATACAGTAAATTGTAATTTGCCATTACCAACATTTTCTTTTTAATCCCTGTGTTAGAATGAAAGAATTCTAAAATTCAAACATTTTTCTGATTAACAAACTAATCTTATAACACATTTTTTTCCAGGGGTCAAGTTCCCTCAGAAGCTGAAATGAATTACTTAAGAATTGCCAAATCCCTGGATATGTATGGAGTGGACCTTCACCCTGTGTTTGTAAGTGTTGTTGTTGCTTGGATAGTTACAATGTGATTTCAGTATAAGCCGGTATAAGAGTAGATGTTTTTTTTAGTAACACATATAGTACCTCTGCATGACAGTCCTAAATGAATATTTAGCCACAGGAATGATACTACTGTTTGTGTTAGTTTGTAATTTATGTTTATGCACAATATAACTGCTTAATCCATGCTTAATCTTTGCATTCCAGGGAGAAAACCAATCTGAATATTTTCTGGGGTTAACGCCTGTTGGTGTTGTTGTTTACAAGAACAAAACTCAAGTTGGGAAGTATTTCTGGTGGGTATTATTGTACCATAGCAGATTGTACACTGGTGGTATAGTCTGACTTCTCTGTATGCTGGCTACAAAGAACAATCTCAGACTTAATGAAGGATGGTTATGACCTTGTAATAACCTTTCTTTACTGATAGCTTCAGTAGGGGGAACATAAAGTCCAATGTACTGTTCTGAGTTTGTAACAGTTTATATACAGCACATAAATGCAAGGTTCATAAATAATCCTAAGTATAAGGTTCATCCTACCATAAAACTCTTGGAGTCTGTTAGGCCATTTGTCATGTGAGGAAAACATGCAAGAAAGCATTTCATTGTACTTGGGTACTTATACCAACAAACATGAACTTGAACTGACACCTGTATGTTTTCTTATTGTTTATTTATTACAGGCCTAGGATTACGAAAGTACATTTTAAAGAAACACAGTTTGAACTCCGTGTACTGGGAAAGGATGTAAGTTTTTATATCATTTTTAGATTGTCAAGCTAAAATGTTTCATTATTATTATTCAGAGATTTCAAATAGCATATTGCAGCTCAGTTTTCTCTTCTTCAAAAATGATTCAATAAAAATCCATTCTTATTTTTTCTGTGAGATGTAGAACATAGAGATTAAAAAAGTAAAAGTACAGAGATCTCAGAGTTTTACAATTCCAAAAATAAAAATAAAGCCAAAGAAAGGAATTTCTGTTATCTCTCTCCTAGTTTAAATTATTTGCTGTAATGAGTTTGCTATTTTGGGTTTTTGGAGAAAATTAGATAGATACTTTATTGATCCCGTGAGGGAAATTGCAGTGCAACAGCAGCTTAACACAGACAACACAGCCACAGTGTAACAAATTCTAAAATAATAGTACAATACATACAATACAAAACAAGAGTTACTCACAGTCCGGACACACAAAGAACAGACTAGAACAGAACAGTACACAGAAAAATCGTATCACACATATGAATATAAATATAGATGTAAATATAGATATAGATATAAATATAGATGTAAATGTATTGCACAGGTCCCTGGAAAATATTGCACAAAAAACGGTTGTAAACAGGAAAAGAAAAAGAAATAGAACAGATGTAGCAGTAGATGTGTAGATGCGTAGATGCGTTCAGTCCAGAAACAGGTCACTGTCAATGTTGCCTCTGCCCAGACGCAAGGTGGATGCGTTGTACAGTCTTATGGCAGAAGGCAAGAATGACCCCCTGTAGCGCTCTCTGTCGCACCGTGGATGAATCAGAAAATTACCTTTGAATTATTTATTTTTGTTAATTTTGTCAATTACTTCTATGGCATCCTGAGCATTACTCATTCATGCTTGTATTCCCAACTGTCATTAATAAAGAAGCCTCGTTAAAGCAGTAAGAATAAGTATTACCATCATTTTCTTCATTGAAAACAAAACATTTTCCTCTGAGACCTGGTATATGAATTTGTAGCAGCTGCACAAACCCCCAAGACCAGTTGTCTAATAGTATGATGTATTTTCAAAGTATTAACCCCGCTCATATTTATACTAATATTAATGTATGGTTGCTAAACTAGCGCTAAGGAGCATTGCTTGCATAATCTGCTACATTTCCTGTTCAAGAGGTTATGCAAGCATTTGGCTTGAAAACAATGTGTGTTTCTAATGCCAGAAAAAGTTCTTTGTGTCAGGTTTTTGTAAGTACTTGCATGTCAAACCTCTAGAAATTCCTCACAGAATGAGTTTATTCTTTTGTAACTTCTGTGATGATTATTATTTTCTTCCTTTTGCTAGATCAGTAGCCTGTAATTTGTATGCTTCAAAGGCACATTTCACAAAGCATTGAATATTGATTAAATCTGCCAAGTTTAAATTCAGTTTCGAATGTTTTCAAGTGTTCAGTTAATGCCACCATTCTGGTTAAAGCAGGATTGCATGTTTTGTCCCAAGTTTTTAATAGATTATCTGTCAAAGTGTACCTGCTTATTATGGATCTGATCCAGTGCCATAACACAGCTCTTTCAGCTTGCCCCAAATCCTTGTGAATAACAGCTAACTTTGGAGTCCAAGACCTAGAACTAAAACTTTGCTTTGAGCACATCAGATCTGTCTGATCTGATTATCCTGTAGAAACCAATACTGCCATGAGCAACAAGACACAGCCATGTGCTACATTAATTAATTAATCCTGTTATAGCTCAGTGTAATCTCGTCAAACAATTGTGTAATTGTGTATTTATTATAATATTGTGCATTTAGCAAAGAAGGAAGAAAATAACATCATTCCAGTATTTTCAGTTAAAATTTCCTTATATATTTATATTCAGATATGTTTTGAAAATAAAACTTGCTGATCAGTTTGTTTTTCAGTTTAGATACAGGAATACAAATGAATTAAACTGATGATTTTTTATTTAAATCATCATGTTTTGTACTTCTTTCTTAGTTATCTTAATGTAAAATGTTTTTAAAGATATTAGAAATTGAAGAGTTTAAACATCTTTATACTCATATATATGCAACTGAAAATATAAAAATATAAATACCTGTAATAAAGCAATTTATATATTATTTTTAATCTTTTTTCTTTCTTTTAGAACATATTTTTACAGCACTGGAATTATATCATTTGTAAATTAACAGAGGTTTTAAAGGCTTGATCATGAGCTTTCTATTTACCTTTTCAATTATTATTTATAATAATATTTTATTTATATTTAATAAAGATTGAGGATTTTAATATTTTAATTTTAATTATTGAATCTGATTTTTAATAAAAAATATTTAATTTTCAGTGGCTTTCTGAAATTGGCTTTCCGAACAAGTTGATTCTGGTAAACTCTGCAGTGTTAGGGTTAGTATAAAGCTTTGTAAACCACAACAGGTTTACTGTGTGCTCCTGAGATGCAGTATTATTGAACTAAGCTGTAAGGTCTAGTGGAAAATGTACAGTATACAAGGTACTGTAGATAGAAGGCACAGAATTGTGCATGCTTTGTTGTTATTATGACAAAACCAAAAGCTTAAATTTTAATATTTTTAAAGTATTATTTCTAGCATAAACATGCAGAACACATATCTGTAGGAAGAGCACTCAGTTATTCAGGTTTTTTTTTATTTTTGGTGCATATTCAAAAATTAATAGCAAGTCTTTAAGCTTTCCACCTCCAGATCAGTGAACCAGTGCATTTTTCATTACAAAAAAAGAGAATGTCTCCTCAACTTCATCTCCAGGCAGAGCACTGAAAAATTGAATAAGATTTTTTTATATATATAATTATTAAGGGCTGTAGCAGAAATGACTGATTCAGGCATACTGTGGGGTGGGAAGGATGTTGCTTAGCAAGGAACTGTGTGTCATTTAATTTTAGAAGCTGTCAATATAAAGTCCAGAATTTGTATTGTGTTTCTCTTGGCTGTAGTAGAATTTGACGTTCCAATATTCCACATGTTCCAGAATTAAATATTCGAATATAAAAGATGTTTTACATTTTTCATCCCAAAAGGATTAATTTTCCAAAGAAATATAATTCTTATGTTTGTTTTATTTTAATAACGTCTTTACACTGTGATTTGTGATTTAAGCATTGTACAACAGTCAACACAGCCTACCTTCATTATAAAAATGCTTGCATGCATTCACCAAGTTCATTCTTTTATCAGAGTTTTATGACTTTCTCTTGAAAATGCATTTTTATTCACATCTGTTTTGAATTCATTTTAAAATTACTAAACTTTATTGGCTACAGGATAGCCTTTCTGCATTAGTGACATAAACAACTGTTGGGATAACAAAGTAACGAATTCTTGAGGACAGTTTATTTTAGTTGTAACTTATAAACCATGTATTTCAACTTCATCACTGAAAAAACAGCTTGTTTAGGATCGGTAAATAACTGATACATGTGTAATACATGCCTTATTAAGGAAACTTGAAGGTAATGTATTAGTTATTTCTTATTGACTACTTGCAATGAGTAGATAGGCTTTTTATAGATTTTGTCATTTATTTATAAAATGCTAGTATGACAGTCATAAACAATGACAGCCATAGCTTACAGGCTGCTCCTAAAATGGACAAGTATCAAATTCAATTTATTACATGAAAGTACGCTAAGATAGTAAGACAACATATTACTACGTTATTACTGAAACACAGTACTAGTAAATGTCTCATAGATGCCTTTTACTATAATAGAAAAGGTGTAGGTAAGTTATTTATTAGACATTTCAAACACCAAAAACATTTCTTTTTATGAAGATTTGTTTCATGACTTGACCAGTTATGCACATACTCCATAAAGTGAGAGAAAAGCAATCACCAGTGTTTGGAATATATTGAAAGATAGATATTTTCAGACGTTTTATGTGTGATAGCTACTATAGCTGTAATTTAGAATATGGAGAAAGTATGATGCCCATTCTTTCACATTAACCGGATAGCTCTTACCCTTTTCTTTCCACGTTAAAAACCTTTAACTATTTTTTTACAGTGCAACGAGACATCTTTCTTTTTTGAAGCACCCAATAAAATGGCTTGTAAACACCTCTGGAAGTGCTGTGTAGAATACCACACATTTTTTAGGTAAGAGCAGAAGAGAAATGTGCAAGTTACTCTGTGTAATGAATCCCAACTGTTTAAATAAAAGACTGGTGGGGGTTTTGAGGTTGAAGTTTGTTTGTTTTTTTTTTTTTAAGTATGATGGCTATTATTTTTCAGGTTGAATGCTGTTGTTCACAAGAATGCTAACTGCACTGCCATTTCTCATTTTTTAAATTGCTGATCCAGATACTTAAGGTTTAAAGCCATGTGTGAATTCACAGGTTTGCAGAACAGCTGTTAAAAAATATGGTCTCAACATGTTGAAGCCAAGGACATACTGTATACTCCAGCTTGGCATAGCTGTGTTACCAGCTCAGTGCATCATTGTGATAACTGACAAGTAAACTTAGGGAATGTGTTTAGTGTCCCAGGAGAAAGTGATATGCAAATAATAATAATAACCTTGAGATCTGATTTTTAAAATGTCTTACTGCATTCTTTGTTTAAAACACCATTGGCTTATCCTTGAAGCAATTCCATTACATGGAAAAACATTTTGAATATTCTAAATAAACTGCTGTATGTACAATACAATGATACATTCTGTTTGATTTATCTTCTCTGACTTTGCTCCTCCAGAATTATTTTTAAAGAAAGAGCATTCCCACTACCTGAGCCATGTGAGAAAATCTAAGTTGAGTGCTGCAGATGCACTTAACTAAAGTGCTTCTGGGAGGCTTTATTATATGACTTTTTCCTTGTCAACAATTATGCTTATTTCAGACTGTAGTGCTTTAAAATTAAGCTTAATTAATTAAGTCATTAAAGCACTTGAAAGTATTTTTAGATACTGGAATATTATTTTTCATGTTTAAAAAAGAGTTAGGGATATTCTTTCTGAGCATTTTGTGTAAGTCAATCTTTAACCATTTAGAAGCAAGTTCTTTCCTCTGGCTGATGTGTGTGATTACATTAAATGCTGGATAAGCTTGTTATATCTATGTAAAAGACAATGAATTACCATCATTTATCACCTATATCTAAACTTTATTATATTCTCTGACTTTCCTTGTTAATTACCCTGTGTCACACCTCTTGTAATCGCAACTCATTTTAATTCTCAATGTGTGGTAGTTAATAGCCACCAATATTAAATTCAGTTTGCTGTGAATTTGCCCATTTGTATCTCAAAAGTAGATTTGCTATGATTTCCAAATCAGCTTTAAGAGAGCTAATTAACCCTGTCTTGGTAGTAAGTTTAGTGTTCACTTACTGTCTGTACCTTGATGCAGTTGAGTGACACACTAGAGTTAGGACTTTAACATCAACTAGATCAGATAACTTATCCCTTAGTATTATTGTCACTTTCCTCTTTCCTCTGTAGCAAACCTCAGGGTGGTGTACCATAACAGTGTCTTTAAATAGGCAGATTTTCAGAAAGATGACATACAAATGCAGCCATTAAGTGGGAAAAAAATCTCCTTTATAAAATTTTATCTAAAAAGGTGTTCTGCTTTATTTATACTGGGAGGAATACAATATTTAAAACACAAAATGAAACCTAAGCTCCTTTTTGAGCTTCAAGCTAGACTTCATCCTGTATATCTCTCCTGTACTGTAAGTACAGCAAGAAGGCTAAGCTGCTTACCAGCTTCAAAACAGACTCTCCAATCCAAAAATTCACACTTAACTTGAAAAAAGTTCACTAAGTCACTAAGTCCCCAGTTCCACAATATAAATTAACTTTACATTGAAAAATATAATGTGTATCTCTGACATTTACATTTTGCGAGGGTTTTTCCTTATATATGTATCAACATATAAATATTTAACTTATTGATTTAACCACAGTGGTAAACTCTTAAGTAGTTCATCATGTGATGACTATGGTGTGACAAGTTTATATATTTTAGTTTTAAAAAATCAGTTTGTAAATGCAGATATTGCAGTGTAAAACTTTGAGTCTAAAATGCAATACGTTTTAGTGGCCATGGTAATAATATATAATGCTGACTTTCCTCAATTTTCCACAAAATTATATCAAGAAATAGCAATTTTTGAAACATTAACAAATAATATATTCCCTTAACTTTCATTGCAATACTATATTTTTGCCTCTTTTGTACTTGATTGCATATTATCATCTATTTATTATTGTGCACCATTAGAATGCCAGAAAATGATTCCAGCTCCTTGACAAGAAAACTGACCAAGTTTGGCTCCCTCGGGTCAAAACATCGCTACAGGTAAACAGTTCTTTCACTGATGGAAATGTATAGAAGGTTTATGTTTTTGGCAATAGATACTGTAGCTTACAAGGAAAGCATGCCTGTTGAAACTTTGAAAGTGTTTTAGAAATTCAGAAATTTGAAAAGTGTTTCCTTCAGCTTGTGATACAAATCTGATTTTAGCTAATTAAACCTTTTAGAAATTCAGAAATTTGAAATGCATTTCCTTTTAGCTTGTAATCAAGCAGGTTCTGTTGGTGCATTAAACATTTTTGTGATCTCATCATCTTCTTAGTCTTCCCAGAAAGAATCTGTTAATCTCAGAGCACAAAATAAATATTTAAGAAGAATACACTTTACGAAAATTAAACATTTTTAAGTGCGTTTCAATTTCTTGCTTCTCTTGCTTCATATCTTTATCTTTTAGTTAAACTGAATGGTAGAGGTTTAGGTGGCACAGTGGTTAGCATTGGAGTGAATTGGATTCAATTCCGGACCTGGGGTGCTAAACTCCATGTGGACTTTGTATGTTCTTTCTATGTTTGCGTGAGTTTCCTTCGGGTGCTCCTACAGGCCAAAGATATACTGGTAGGTTAATTAGCTTCTGGGAAATTGACCCTGGTGTAAGTGTGCGTGTGTCATTATCTGTGTGCCCTGCAATGGACTAGCATCCCGTCCAGGGTGTACCCCACCTTGTGCCTGTTCCTTGCCTAGATAGGCTCTCTCTCTCATGACCCTGAATTCCCGTGATGGGGTGGTTAGGAACTGGATGGATGGCTAGTTTTTTCAAAAGTCCTCATTTTTTACTGTCTTAACATTTATATTCTTACTATTAATTTTATTTTTTGTTGATTAACCATGCGCTTAGAGTGTTTTTTTTCTAGAATAAAGAACAAATCAAACATAGAATTATTTTTTAGAAAAACAAACAAACCTGAATCAGCAATTCAGCTCACTGTTACAACCCTCATATCGGCACAGGATGAAACATGCAACATCAGACTTAACTTTTATATCTTTTACACTTTTTATATCTGTGACCCCACAGAGCACACATTAGAGCTAAGGCCCTGAAAGGAGTACTAAAAGAAGATGAATCACTGTTTACAGTTTTTACAGAATTCAGATTCTAGGTTTCTCACTAGGATGAAAAGAATACTGGTACTGTAGGTCTCGATTTACACGGCAGATGTGTTCCTGAAATTCGTTGCTTAAATTAAAAACACTTAAATACTAAATAATTTCTCATAAGAAAGTATGCAAACAGGGATGTGTTCAGTTAAAACTTAATGGTTTATCAATGTTACAGTGCCTTGCGAAAGTATTCGGCCCCCTTGAACTTTTCAACCTTTTGCCACATTTCAGGCTTCAAACATAAAGATATAAAT